GGAGGCTGTGGGGTGGGGATGTTTAATTTTATTGTGAGTTCATTGAAGTAGCACGTACCGGTACTACGCAGCTGGAGTTGCGAAAGCTCGTTTCTGGTTGAGTTGATTGCAGTGTCAATTAATGTGCGCAAAGACTGCTCTGCTTTATTTGCAAGCTCGGTTTAATTTGATTTCTCCCATATAACGTACTAGAGGAGTATTTTTAAATTGAAAATAACTATATTGCATGTGAACATTGGGATGGCAGGTGCCAAAAGTTGGTTTTGGCAGAACCTGGTGCAGTAGCTTCCCCTCAGGCAGCGGCTCTGCGCGCTCAGAGATGGCGGCTGTCCAGGGCTTCGGGCCTTCACCGTGCCTGCGCTCCCAGTCCTCAGGAACCGATGAGTGCACCTTATGCTTCGGTGGAGGGGCAACTTACCGAAACTAGAGTGGGGTCCCCTGCAGAGAGACGGGTCCCTCACCAGCCCAGCAAGCTTAACGTGCAGGTTGTGACAGCTGCTGCTGCTCCTCGGTGCTTTCATAAAGGACTTCTAATCGTTTATTTTTAATCTGGAGTGTTTGTTGTTTATATCTTTAATGCAGAAAGTATTTTACTCTTTACTGTGCAAATTACAGAAATAGCGGAGAATTAGCCTTCCAACACTGATGCTTAAATATAACTTCAGAACGTGACTTAAAAACACTAAAATACTTAATTTATGTGCCTGCCTGAGTTAATCTTTAAATCTGTGCTTTTGTAGTTACTTGGCCTACAGCCACCTTTCGTCATACTCTGATGTGAACATTTATGCGATGGCAGAACCACTTCACATGAAGAGCAAAGGTAATAAAGTTGTAGGTGGAGGTTAAAGCAACGGAATCAAAGGTGCCAAATTCCTGTTGAAAAGCTCTCAGTTTTGAGGCTGAATTTCTGAAATAGCTAACAAAAATTAGCATTTTGTGAACAAACAATACAGGGTATTTTTTGCCAAGTGTAGAAACAGTATAGAAAGTTTTAACTGCAGCCCAAGTGCAGTAAAAGACTTTGTCCAAAGCTTGACAAAGATATCTTGACTTAGTTCTTCTGTAGTTGTGTATAGGCTTGATTATTGATAAACATCATAGGTATGAGTATGGCTTACAAATAAGCTAACTCCTAATTATCCAAACTTGTGTGGGCTGGAATGTCTTAGGTAATTGAAAAAACAGGATAATGGGAGTGCTGGGGAATTTGGTGCAGATACGTGCGGTGGGAGTTGGAGTTGCTTCAGCAACGTTTCTTGTCTTTATGGATGCTTCAGTACTGTCTGATCCATGTTCTCTTTTACTCCAAATTTGGAGGGGGAAGACTTGATTCTGGGAGATCTGAGATAGCTTGGTATGCAGCTGTCTTGGGTCTGGAGTGTTGATGAAATTTGATTTCATTTTAGGCAGGAGTTTTAGTTTAGGCAAAGTTTACAAGATTAATGTGCTTCCAGGTGGGGAAAAGAGGCCATGTAAGCTTTATGTTGGCTCAGTGGAGAACTTGGGCTAATAAGCATGCCAGACTGGAACAAGCTCAGAATGGCCTGTGTAGTCTACAACTGAAATGAATTTTTTGTAGGTAAATGAGTTGCCCACTTAAAAAAACACAGTTCCTAGTATGTTGCTCTGCAGACTTAGGTGAATGTTTGTCTTTTAAGAGTTGTTTGATAAAGAATAAACTCACTGGAAAGACCACAAGGCTTATAAGGCACTCACTGGAAAGTAAAAATCTCGTTTCAGAGTATTTTGTTTCTGAATACTTCATGGCGTGACAAAACTAGGCATAAGTATAAACTTAACCTAGACCATGTGTTCAACAGTATTGAAGGAAATTTGTACTGTTTCAGCTACTGTAAAATTGCCTATTCTGAATTTTTGCCCTATGGATACTGGAAATTATGTAATTTTTTTTTTTTCTTGTTTCTGCTGAC